GCTACCAGTCCTGGCAAGAGATGTCGCTATTCACTGTATTAATTAAATTTTTATTGAGTTGATATTCAATTATTTTTTGTGAAATTACTCCACTAGTTTGTTATAATTATTAATACAAAGATCGAACACTCAGAAAAAATTCCTTCGATCCGGTCGGATTCGAACCGACGTCTTCTTGCATACTGTGCCAGACGCTATACCAACTAAGCCACCCTAATATTAGTCAAAACCAAGTGGTAATATCGTGATCTCCAAGAAAAATGTTATCTTTTGTAGTCTGCTTCTATACGCACGCAAGCTATACGTGTATGTGAAGTAAACGCGGAAAATTTTATTGCACGATATATAAAAGATTGCCTTCTAGAAATAATAGTTATTTGTTACGCAAGGCTGCGTAGTTGTTGTTGAACGCGAGTACTTGTATTGAAATGTGAGCAAGCGAAGGTTCTTACGATTAAAACTATCAAAGATAGAATCCTGAGTGTAGCGAGGGTTTCAAGACACAAGACGCAAAATAATTTTGTTGCTGAGAGAAACATACAACTTTTCACCTTTTCGTAGCGAGGAAAATGGTAGATGAGAGAAAAAGAGATTTGTTATAGTTCAAACAAAATTAGTTATCGTTGTCAAAGTAATGAAAACAATAATAAGAATAAAATACACCAGGATTTATATTACATAAATAATGTACGACAAATCGAGTAGTTGAGCGTGTCATTACGTTTTTTTTTTATCGAAAGAAAAAGATAGGTGCACCACTGTCCATTGTCAAGTTTGAATTTCAAAAACCTTTTCCGCTAGCTTGGAAAAAATGTTATTAACCGTAGATTTCTAATGCGAAAGACTTTCCGAGCTAGTGAGGTGAAAAATATGCTCTCTTGCTGTAAAATAAGCTAATAGTCCCCGTACGCATTTATTACAGAACACGGGAGAGAAGATTTCATTGAAATTATAGAGAATAATCGAAGAAAATTGATTTTTTCAGAAAAATTAATCGTAACGTAATGATGATTTCACGTACCACTCAAGCAGAGGCGTCACCGTCGAATCTGACCTTTGAGTTTCTCGGAATTTATATGCGAGATTTATTTAAAATTTATCATAAGCTTTTGGATGAAGGAAAACATCGTGATGAGACCTGCACGGAAGAAGGTTCACAACCCTCGGGAAACGTGTGATGTGCACAAAAAATAAAAGAAATAAAATTTTGCCAAACTTTGTGATTTTTTTGTATGGAGCGAAGGTTACCGTTTTATTCTGTTTTCATTATCAGTTAAAAACAAGTTGAATTCGTATTTTTTGAACGACTTCAAAACAGGAGAAGATTCTCAATTCGACTGTATGTTCTTTTTTTCTTTTTTCTTTTTTTTGTATGTATGTTACGCGATAACTCCGGTATTTGTGAACCGATTTTCATGATTCTTTTTTTGTTGGAAAGGGGATACTTCCATAGTGGTCCCATTTCATTTTGAAGAAAATCATCCACCTCGAAACGTGGCTGTTCACGCATGAAGATTCATTTTTATAAATAGCGCCTAACTTTAATTTAGGAGCAAATACTTTAATGGTTGATTTTGCTATTTCTCCAATTCAAGGCGTTTTTCTCTCAATATACTTTGAGTATAATTCCACGTACTTTTGAGGTCGGTTTTTTTAGTACTCTGTACTGAGATTATGTAATATCGAAAAATATTTGAGGTCTCACATCACTTATACGAGCTGTTGGCTTATTAATAATATTTGGATCACCAGCCATTAACATTAAATAAACAATGCTCGAAAAAATATCGAAAGTGATTTTTCCTTCAGCAGGCACACCATATGGTATTAATTGCTGCAATTAGTTTTAAATGAAAAAAATAATATTCACGCTCCTATTTTATGTTGGGTTTCCCAAAATTGTAACAGCTATCTTCAGTGTAATTCTCCCGAAGGTTTCCTGGGTTTTTCATTTGATTTTTCAGTTTTTTATTTTATTTCATATTATCAATTTCATAATATCACAATTCGAAATATAATGTCAAGGGATAACATGATCATTACTAAGGTAAATAATAATTTTAATGTTAATATAAAATAAAATATGTAATGTAAAATAAATTCTTAAAAGAAATTCCTCCACACTGTAGAATTCATTATCCAATAAAAGGTCTTTCAGTCGGGAGCAAAACACTCAGGCATTTGTAACCTTTTTAGACTTGTGGGTAGGTGTTCGTAAAATCGGGGCCCGATTTCTCGCGGATTTCCTGGTTGCGAGTTCGGTTCGATGAGCAACGGGTTTCAGTATTCCTATATTACTTAAAGAGAAAGTGTAAGTTGTCTGTGGTGAGAGACCTGGTATCCTATATTACAAGTTTATGCTTAGTTTAGGTGCCAGTCTTTTGCAAACATAATATAAACACTATTTTTGTCTATCTTTCTTTTGTCCATGTTCAGTTGTTATGTTTGTGGAGAGAAATAAATACATTATTAATATTATTGTATTTATTTTAAACTCTCGCCTCTCCCAAGGCCTAAAAGATTAACTTTGAATTTTTAAATGGGAGTAGGAGTTTTAAATGGTATTTCCCGGCAATGGCACAGTCGGCCGGGGTCAGGGACTCAGGTCCAAGAATCGGCGAACAATACGTGCCGTATCGAGCAGGACCGCCTTCTGCATTTGTGCTGGAAGCGACACGCCACAGAAATCCAACCGCCTCAAACTGTTAGAAAGGCTGACTGGAATTAACCCATTTGCGGACAAAACAATTGGGATTATTTCAGTGGAGCCACATCCCACATGTCGGTGATCTCGTGCGCCAGGTCGAGATACTTCCGGCGTTTCTCGGTTTCAGCTTTATTATTATTATTATTATTATTACGTAACAGCCGGCCTCCGCCTGTGCATCGCTCGTAAATATGTATGTTTTTACACACAAAAACAATTACATCGTGATTGTACTGTGAATTCGTTTTCATCACGTGGTGCTTTCGAAAAAGGCTTCTACAGGACTGATTATCTTTTATACCCACTATGGTTCGTAGTGCGCGTTTCTGGAGAACGGATACCCTTTTGGACTCAGTTGATTTGCCCCACATTGTAATACCATAGGACATCAATGAGTGGAAGTACGCAAAGTACATTTGCCTCAACACCGCAGTGGACACAAGGGGACGCAGTTTCCGCAGTGCGTACGCAGCACCTCTAAGTTTCTCGCACAAAGACTGAATATGGGCTTAAGTTTGAGTCTATAGTAAAGCCCAAGAACTTGCATGTGTTGCAAAGTGGAACCGCATAGGTGACTATTGAGCTTGATACGGGATTTCTTCTTGAGAGCAACACTAGGTTCGACTTAGACATGTTTAGAATAAGCCAAATGGGCTTATATACAGAAAACCATTCACAAAGCTGACTGACAATTAAAGAGGTCAACGGCAACTAACCAATATGAGAAATAGTAAAAGAAAAACTGTGACTGGAAGAACTCATAGCTCTGTGGTACCTTGATCGTATCGCAATCAATCATTCGTAAGCGGGTTCATTAACTCATTTCACGAGCCATTTGGCGCTGGCGCAAACAAAGAGGCGTAGAGCGTATTTTACGGTGGCAAGACAAACCTAAAATATTTCAAAATCAATACAACACCTATTTATTGCGGTTATATCCTGCCACAACGACGCGCTATGGAAAATTAAAGGTCTATTCAGATATAAGGGATATTTGCTACCGCGAATTCTCGCAATTACGAACACTGGGCAGTTGACTGCATGAGTTTTTCTTTTGCCTTTTTACATTGACTTACAATTATATGGACGTCGGGTCCGCGCTAAAAAGTGTCCGAACTTATAGGGCGTTAAAAGCGTATACAGAGCGTCATTCACGCTTTAGTCTTCGTTTGTTTGACTGACAGCGAAGCAAGCAAAATTAGACAGTACTGCGATGACATTACAATTTAAAAGCTTTTTCATATTCCTTTACATGTCACTACGTTTAAATAGGTTGACTTGGGACATTTTTTTCGTGGTTTTTGTATTTTTTTTTTTTATACATGACAGGCAAATGACTACACTCCACCTGATGTTAAGTGGAAAGTGGTATCCAAACGCGAAGGAACCTAGTGCAGCGATGAAACCCTCGCTGCACTAGCCACCTCCACCCTGCCTGCCTACAATATGCCTTTTCACGCCTCGTATTAGACCCGTCGTCCATTTATTTGTAAGTCAATGCCTTTTTACATCATTCATTATAGAGCATCAAACAGTAATGGATTTTCTTACATAATTTGCAGGCCTTGGCTGGGAAAACGTCGCGCATTTCCTAGCCGTCCGCTAAAAGGCGGTTAAGTGACCAAATATTTTTTTAAGATATCATAAAGAAACCATAACTCAGTTTTAGAATATTTAAATTGTTTAATTATATTTCAACTATGCATCGTTAGGGTAAGTCCGATAAGTTAAAAGAGAATTTTGTGCTCTATCTTTTGCTATTTAAAAAGGATATTTGACCATTTGTCACGTAACCGAGTTTCAGTTCGTGAACGGCAGCTAAATAACAAACTTTTCGTGTTCGTATTTTGAAAGCAATGCTAATATTTCCGAGCATGTTTGAGAAAACGAAATTGAATTTGTATCTCAGTTAAGACATTGGGATCAAAAGCATTTTGATATCGCACTCCTCATGGAAAAATGGCATAAGTGAAATCACGTCAAAAATGTTCATTGCTCCATTGGATACAGAAAAATATAACCTACATCCTCTCCAATTATTATTCTTGTAAATCTATCGATTAACATTGTCGGCAGAATTATGACAATTGGGGAGGATGTAGGTAATATTTTTCTGTATCCAATGGAGCAATAAACATTTTTGACGTAACTTCACTTATGCCAGTCTTCCATGAGAGGCGCGATATGTTGCTGGTGCGACAACGTAGCTACGACATCATTGCGTGAAACCCCAAGCACTACAAAATGTCATAAACGCCGCCGCAATATAATGGGACATATTCGTGACACGACAGAATGAAACACAAGGATATTAAAGACTTTTAAAGGCAACTACATTAAAGAAATAAAAAGTTCACATGTCCTGGAAGATTCTTCTAATGGACTTGAGGTATACGGAAGCATTCCGTCCTAGTGCGACCAGATCTTCATCTTCTTGTCCTTTTTCTTTCTCTGCCTCTGAATTGTGCTGAACCGCCTTCCTCCGTGTACTCAAACTTTGGAGCTGTGCATCCAAGCTTTGGGGCTGTTGCAAGTCCTCGTGTGCGCTCAGATAGGACTCGTGAAACTCTACATTCCGCCCGGATTCAACATCCTCAGCTCGGGCTTCTGCAAGATAATTTGGTTTACTTATAATTACATACTTACATTACTATATTTACATTACTTGTAAAATACTAACAACTCTCAAGACTGTAATTACTAACATAATAAACAACAAGTTTTGTTGCATAACTTAATTCATCAGATCTTACGTCCACGGTAATAACTCTGTGCAGTAAGGCGTCACGCAATTCTGTGTTAGATTCAAGCAATCAGCAACTATAAGCTAATATTCTATTTTCATACAATTGTGGTTGTCGAAACCGGTGACAATGTTCGATCATGTCGATTTCAGGTTAATTGTATACTCTCCATCTTTTGTTTTTTCATTCATTATCCAAAACCGTGTACAGAAACCTTGTGTAAGGTTTTAGGTAATATGTTTAGCGTATTATGGAGCATGTACTCCATCTTCTTTGTCCATAATATGCTAATAACACTTGAAACTGCGCAAATTAGTAGATATATCTTTTGTGATGAAGTTTTCACAAATAGTGTTCTTATTTTATCAAATATATATTACCTACTTTTAAAGAGATCGTGCTGGCGAAAGTATAGGCACATGGGACTTGTGACTGATGTCTCAGAGTCACGGGCTCAGTGGTAGTGCCCAGATTTCTGCATTTTAAAGCTCTGCAACTGCTATGCACAGGCGCGTCGCGTGGCTTAGAAATGTGCAGTGACCAAATAAGCTTGTTTAGTCGTCCTTGTACATTTTATTTATTTTAAAAAGGACAATTGTTTTTTCAAACAAACCGACGTTTCGGGCCCTTTACAGGTCTTATGGTCACGGTTGACTCTTTTGCGCGCGCACGTTTGTTCTTGAGGTCTTCAAACCGCCGGATTTTATTTGCAACATCCAGTCCGTACTGGTGTACATATCGAGTTCTTAGGTTTTCGCGATTGTTATACATAGGAATGAAACTATTTTTC